AAAAGGATCCTCTAACATAATTTTCTAACATTTTAACTTTTTTCCCATACTTTGACCTTTAAAGGTGATAAACAATCTGCTTTATTTTTCTTGAAGACTAGGCTAGCTGTCCCAGAACAGCCTGTGGAATAGTCTACACTTTCTCCTTTCATCTGGGGACCTCTTACTGCATGCATCTGAGTGTGCAATTCCATCTGCTTGGGCTATCTACTCTTTGACAGTACCATATATGTCCAATACCATGACTTTACAGTGAGTTGGGGTTAAGAGGGGCAAATTTTTGTTTTACTTTAAAGAAAAAAATACAGTCTTGGTCACCAGTGTTCATTATTTTTTATTATAAATTTGAGGTGAAATACTTGAGCCTCCCAAAGTTCCCATTGGAATTTGAACAGTTTACACTAAACTTGTGGTTTACGCTGGCAAGTAATTAATCCTTAAAACAAGTATGTCATCTGTGGGAGAGAGATCATCACATCTTTATGCTTAGAGTTTTGACATAAACCCCAGAGAAGTCCTGTGCATTCTTAATTTAAAAGAAAATGCCTCAGAGCCAGGGCTTGGTGGCACACATCTTTAATTTCAGCACTCAAGAAGCAGAGACAATTGGATCTCTGTGAGTTCAAGGCCAGCCTGGTCTATACAGTGAGTTCCAAGCCAGCCAAGGCTACATATTGAAATCATGTCCTCCACCACCACCACCAAAAAAAAAAAAAAAAAAAAAAAAAAGAAAAGAAATAAAAATAAATGATGCTTAATAGCTGTGAAGAGTATTTGCTATTGTTCATGCAGAGACATACTGTTTATTCTTGTAAATTATGTTTTGTCTGATTTAACTGTTACTAATTACAATTGATTATTTTTTAAATATTGTAATCATGGCTGCTCTAATATATAACAATTTTATCTCTACTAATTCTTATGCTTTTTCCCCTTCCCTCTTAATAGTGACACATTCCACTATTATTATTTGGACACTAGTGATAATAGAGTATGTTTTGCTTTCTTAGTCTCAATAGAAATTAAATTTTCTCCGTCAGGTAATATTAGGTCTGGGATTTGATATACAAACTTCACCAAATTAAGGAAAATCCAGCTGGTTGTGAGTGATGCCTTTTATCCCAGCATTTGGGAAGCAGAGGCAAATAGGATCTCTGTGAGTTTGAGGCCAGCCTAGTATACTTAGCAAGTTCCAGGCCAGCCAGGACTACATAGTGAGACCCTGTCTCAAAAGAATAAAAATTTAAGAAAAATCAATCTTGTCTTTCTGCATCCAGATAACTATATGACCTACCTCCTTAATTCTACAAAAGTGGTTTCTTTAGTGGATTTTCTAACATTAACACTATTTGCATCTGGAGTTGGATTCTACTTGATGGTGCCTTATTACTGCATTGTTGTTATGCATTGGCTAATATTTCATTTAAAATTTTAAATCTGTATTAATAAAGAAAATAGATCTACATCTTTCTCATTTTGGAACAAAGACGACACAAACCTCATAAAACAAGCCACATGACTTTCTATTTGTGGGCTTGTTTTCTAGTTTCTGGAACATTTTACACAAAATAGCATGTAAGTCTTCCATGAGGATTTTTTTTTATCCTAATTTTATTGCATTTGGCCAGAAAACAGAATTGAGGTGCTGAGTCCATGGAACTTTCCGAAGTTTGTTCTCAATGCCTTAAGACCTTGCCACAGGTATGGTCAATGGATTAGAGATATTGACACCCTCTAGTTTTGTTAGAAAAAGAGCCCATGGCTCTGCCCCACCTGCTGGGTCAGAACCTGCCTTTCCACAACAACTCTATAGGCTTTGCACAAGTACATCAGAATTCTAGAGCCCTGGTCTGGAGCCCCAGTAGGCAAAGCCTCCTCACAGGAATCCCTGCACTGGTCTTAGCTTCCAATGAATGTTCTGGTTGTCAGTTGTGGTGTAGATGCACAGGTATTCATTCCATTATTCGTCTCTAAAAACACCAACATGTTTGATATGTGCACATGAATGTGGTTTTACAGCACAATGTATTAGAAGAAATTAGACTAATGGAAATAACTCAATCACAGTCATGAGGTGAATTGTTTATATAATTATTCACATGTATTTATTTACTTATCTTTATTGGGGTAGGAGAGCACATGTGTGTGTGTCATGGTATATTCATGGAGGTCAAAGAAAAAAACCTGTGGGAGCCAGTCAGTCCTCTCCTCCATTGACAGTGTGTCAGGGCCAAACTCAGACCCTCAGGCTTAGCACCAAGTGCTGAATCACCTCACCAGCCCCAAGTGAGTTCCTTGATATGGGTAGCTTGACACAGGTGTGGGAGCTTTGTAACGGCTGTCTCCAATGCCTTTTAAGTAGTAAGTTTCCTTTCATTGATGAGTGATTGGCCACACTTTGAGAAAAGCTAAACATGGCCAGGAACAGCTGCTTTGAGAAACATGACACTATCAAGTTGTGGCTAGGGGCCTAGTAACTGTAGTCTGCCACCGCCCAATGTTATCTGTGGAATTCTAGATCTATAGCTATCAAGCAACAATAACTTAAAATCACCAGTCTCTCCTTTGATTATTTAGCATTTGGTGGTGCGAAAAAATGCTTGCACAAATTGGGGACCTGCAGGAAAAGCTGCAATAATGGAGAAATCTCCGGGGACAGATGTAAAAAAGGCCTAACCTGCTGCATTCCAGACACTAGGAAACCCAAGCAAAAGGTCTCTCACAGCTGGACCACGGAGGCAACCCCTACAATCGAGTATGATCTAAACACAAACTTCATCAATGCACTTTTAGCACAGTGAAGAATTAGATGTAAGAGACTACAGAGTGAAGAAAAAAAACTGAGAGATGGCTGGAGAGATCTATCTTTGGATTTTATATAGCTCATGACTTCTCAGATGTCACTCTCTGTGTCCCAAGAGTGATGGACTATGTTGTATGTGTAAGACATTGAAACACCCATGAGCCACACTCAACCCTCATAATTGTGTAATTCTATATTAAATTTAAAAAAAAAGTCACTGTGTAAAGAAAGCCTTCAAATATTTCCAGTAGTAAAGTCTTTGATGCTCTTGAAACATCCAGTGATAGCTCCAGATAACCTGTGTTCCTTATTTGCTGGCAATCTGTCTGCAAATTGAAGCTCTTGAGGAAGAATTAATTTCAACACTGGCATTTCCTTCTGACCCACTGTCTTCCTGATGAGAATTTGGGCATAGCTTTTTTGTGTTAGTTTCCCCTCAGATGAAAGGAACATTCAACAACCAAATCAAAATCCTAAATCTTTGCATTTATGGCACTATCTGCTAGTATGTCAAAGCTTGCTTCAGGGGCTGGAACTCAAGTGCTCTTAATCCCTCCAGCCCCTAGCTAAGGCCTTTTCCAAGACTAGTTTTTACTGTGATCAGATTCTTCCTGAAGCATATGTCTGGAGTTGTCTCACTTTCTCCAGATCGTCATCTCTGTTGTATGTGGGGACAGGGGGTAGCATGGAAGAGAAGAGAAAAACAAATCAGAGGATAGAGCTGTCAGTGTGACTTTCCCTAAACACAAGCGTGCCACACTGAGCAGACACAGGGCCAGCATGCAGAGCAAAGTGACACCCTTATGTAGCTTACACACACACACATACACACACACACACACACACACACACACAGGTGAACTCAGAGCCTACTGGGGTGACATTGCAAAGCATAATGCCTCCAGGGACTACTTGCTTTCAGAGGTGAGTTCACTCAAGAAACTTCCTATTGAGCAATGAGGAAACTTGAAAACATTCCAGGATATTTACTTGTCATCATGGCTGTAGAAGTATCAGTCTTTTCTTAGAAAAGTAGAAAGGTTTTAATTCTATGAAGAGAGAAGTAATCCCAGAGGGCTGCAAGGGCCAGCTAACAGAAAGTGAAGCTCCCTAGATAATGCCAGTAGGGGGACACAAAAAACAAAAACCAGGTCCAAACTCAGGAGGAAAACAAAGGTAAAGGGAACACAAAGAGTGATCAAGCCTAGTATTCCAAGGAAGGCAGCAATGGAGGAAGTACTACCTAGAGACACACTTCTGAAACTTCCAAAGAGGCAATGTAATAGAGGTTGGACCATAATCAGCTCCGCAGAGCAAGCCATACCAAAGCGGCTGTATGGAGTCAGGCACAGCCAGAGAAGTAGAGAAAGAAATGGCCTTTGGTAGCTACTCTCCTATTGGCAGAATTAGAATTAAAGAAAGAGAAACACAATATTAGTGGGAAACAAGACTAAAAAGTAAATATTATGGCTAGCATGGTGTCTTGGTGAGCAAAGGAACTTTCCTTGCAAACCTGATGACCTGAGTTCAATCCCTGGGACCCACATAAAGATGGAAGGAAAGAACCAATTATACTGAGTTGTCCTCCACCCTCTACACAAGCATGACAAGAAACTATTACACAGATACATGACATGTATACACAAAGTAAGAATAAGTTGTTTAAAAATATAGTTTTTAAAGCCCTACAGAATTTGAGAAATTACAAGACCTTGACAGTCATGGAGAAGGGCTTGTGTTGTTCAAATTCCTTCTGCGGTAACCACCAAGTCGATCCCAGCCTCACAACTTGAAGCAATAACCAGACAGCATACTCCAAATCCAATAGGTCTGCTTAGAAGCTCTTCCAGGCTTAACCAACTGTGTCTGTAAGACCACACACCCATCCCATCCCACCTGGGAGTCCCACATGGCATAGGTTGTCATGGCTCATCCCAAATCCCTCCCTCCCTGGTCTCCACTGCACTCTCCCACCTTCAGTGGCTGACCAGGCTCCTCTCTGAAAGTCACTCAGGGACCTGGACCCTTCTCCCATGGGGTTGCATCCAGAGCAGGCCAGATATCTCACCATGTAAAACCCAATCTCTCTCCAGTGGAGGAAAGACAAGCAATCAATGCCAAGTGCATGAACTTTAATAAAGGAGGTGGACCTCAGGGAGAGCTTCCCTGGAAGTGTGTGCATGGGGTTCACTGGCATTCACGGTATTTTTGGCCAGTGTTTGTCATACGACCAGTTGGTGTCCTCATCGATGCCGGTAAGGCTGATCCTCACGTAGGACTGGAGGCAGCACGTCTGAAAATTTCTGCAGTAGAAGTAGGGCTGTTCATCCTTTTTGCAGGAAGACCTACAGAAACCTCTGTTACTCAGGCAATGAAGGACAGGACTTTTGCCTGGCCAAGAAAGAAAAAAAAGATGATGATTAATTTCTGCTCATCAGTGACATAGATTGGGGGCATCATGAGCACAGAAAAGACCTAAAGGGGGACAGCAAGAGCCACAGTCAAAAGAGACAGAGTCAATGTCCTTTCCTCCATTTGTCCTGCTACACACAAGTCAAGGCTCTGGATGTTAGAATGAGAAAACAGCGTGATATCAGCACAGAGAGACAGGGATATGGATGGGATGGAACAGAGACCCCAGAAGCAAACCCACACAGCTAGACACACCCAGCTTTGTTAAAGGGGTCACAAACATTTGCTGGGAGGAGAAGGCTTATTCAGTGACTGGTGCTGGCAGCCCTGAGGGTGGAACTGCAGGGGCCGAGTCTACATCTGTGTCTCTCACTCTGCACAAAAGTCATTTCCAAGGAGATCAGGACCCTTGACTGTAGTTGGAAAGTTTTTCTCCATCTAGCCCAGTTCCAATTTCTCTCCGTCCACTGGGTCCCTGTAGCAACTTATAAGATAACCACACAGAGACCATATATATATATATATATATATATGGCGGGGTTGAGGAGATGCCATGTAGCTGCTGGGGAGGCACCTGTAAGTCACAGCCATGTGGTGATATACAGATTAGTATTAGTAGAAATGTGTTAATTTATGAGAGAGAGAGAGTTAGCCAGTAATAAGCCTAAGCCATTGGCATCACAAGCATGTGTGTGCGTGTGTGTGTGTGTGTGTGTGTGTGTGTGTGTGTGTGTTCAGATTTCCTGTCTGGCTTTACTCTGCTTAGCCATTGCCTGAAACATTTTACTTATCAACCAATAAAAGCAACACACATTCACAGTGTACAGAAGGATGTCCCACATCCCTTGACTTAAAACTAGAAACACTGAAAGCACTAGGAGAAAACACTTGAGGACATAGGCAGGGGAATTTCCTCAGTAGGACTCAGACAGTACAGGAAATAACCCCAAGAATTGACAAATGGGGTTAAATTCAATTAAAAGGTTTCTGCACAGCAAAATAAACTATTATTGAAGTGGACAACAAAATGAGAGAACAGGCTTCATCAACTTCAAACAAAGAGTTACTGTCTAGAATATACAAAGAATAGCAAAAATCAGCTCCATAGGCTGAAGAGATGGCTCAGTGGCCAAGAGCACTGGCTGCTCTTCAGAGGACCCAGGCTTGATTTCCAGCACCCACACGATGGTTCACAACTATCTGTAACTCCAGTTCTAGGGGCTCCTACACTCTCTTCTGGCCTTCACATGCACTGGGCATATATGTGGTGCACAGATATACACACAGGAAAAGCACCCACAAACATATATAAAATAAGTAAATCTTTCTTTAAACCTGAAAAACACCAAAAAAGCAAAACTGCCAATCAATAAATAGTCCAATGAACTTTTGATAATTGACAGTTATCAAAAGAAGAAACACAAATGGCCAATGCATCTTTTTGAAAGTATTTGATAGCCATAACCTTCAGCGAAATGTGAGAAAGAGGACACTTATCCACTGCTGGTAAGAATGTAACTGGTGCATCCACTGTGAAGATCACCCTGGGGGACTGCACTGACCCACACGGCAGCTCACAACTGTCTGTTACTCCAGTTCCAGGTGATCTGACACTCTCACAGACAAATGTGCACATAAAATAAGTAACAAAACTATTTTAGAGAGAGAGAGAGAGAGAGAGAGAGAGAGAGAGAGAGAGAGAGAATCAGCCTGGAGTTGTCTCAAACACCTAAAAAAATAAGATAGCCAAAGAATCTATATCTCATATGCCCAAAAGGTCATGCAGCACTTCCAGGGCCACCAGGCCACACAGTGCCACTGGAGGGCACACAGAAGAGAGAATGCCTCTCCCAGTTAGGGTGGCATCAAAGAACACAAACTTTGGAGCTGGAACCTCCAAGCACACTGTGGCAATGAGAAGCCACTTCCCCCTCCTGCCTCCATGTCAGGGCATAGCCCAGAATCTTCTATTATACAAAATAACCAGTTCTCAATTAAAAATCACTCACCAGAACCAGGATAATAGCATGCCATATAAAAAAAAGATAATCAACCAAACCTGTGGTCCCTCCATGTTCAGGGCACTGACGGTTCATTCCTGCTCTTCCTGAACTGTACCCCACAGAAGTGTGTAGCATAGTCCCTTTAACCATCCCTATATTTAGGAGAATTTTTGTTGTCCCCAGTTGTGTGGTTGTGTGTGTGTGGTTGTGTGTGTGTGTGTGAGAGTGTGTGTGTGTGTGTGTGTGTGTGTGTGTGTGTCTGTCTGTCTGTCTGTCTGTCTGTCTGTCTGTGTCTGTGTATGTCGGTTTATGTATGTGTGAGTGCACATGTGTGTGTATACATATGGAGGACAGATGTCAACCTTGGGTATTGTCCTCGGAAACTGTCTACTTGTTGTTTGAGACAGGGTCTCTCAGTGGAACCTGACCTGGATGATTTAGGCTGGAATGCTTAGCAAGAACCCCAGGGATCCTCCTGTCTCTGCCCTCCCAACACTGAGATGACAGACTCAGTCTGGCATGTTCAGCTTTATTCTGGTTACGGGGATCTGAACTCAAGCCCTCAAGCTTGCCCAGCAAGCACTTAATCCACTGAACCACCTCTCTAACCCACAAATTGGGGTTATTAAAACACTCTGGTTGAAACCATGAGCTTAGAGGCTGAAGAGATGGCTCAGTGGTCAAGAGCACTCGCCGCTCTTGCAGAGGACCTGGGTTCAGTTTGCAGCACTCAGGTGGTGGCTCACAACTACACACACACACTACACACAGGCAAAGCACTCAGACACAAAATATAAAAATTTAAAAAATGAGTTCCAGACTCAATAAAAGACTCTGTCTCAAAAAGAAAAAATATTGAGGATCTGGAGAGATGGCTCAATGGTTTAGAGCACTTGCTGCTCTTGTAGGGGACCCAGGTTCAAACTCCAGCATGTGTCTCACAGCCATCTCTAACTTTTCTTCCAGGGGATCTGATGCTGTCTTCTGACTTCTGAGGATACCTGTCATTCATTGGTGTACAGACATATAAAATAACATTTATAATCTAAAAATATTTTAACAAAAATTGTGGAGACTGATGGAGGAAGACACCTGACATGTCAACCTCTAGGCAAGCACACGTGCACATGCATTCACCATGTGCACGCACACACAGACACACACAGAGACACACACACACAGAGAGAGAGAGAGAGAGAGACAGACAGACAGACAGACAGACAGACAGAGACAGAGAGAGACCCGGAATGGTAGTTTGTAAAACCAATCAGATCTTAGTTTGGAGAAAGACAATGAGCCTACAAAGATCAGATCAAAATCTTGGGAAAGAATATAAATAAAGGTCCTTACACCATATGTCTGGGTACTTAAAAGTGATTAATCAAGCCAGCAAGAGAAATACATAAATAAAATGTTTTCTATATTCTTTAATGAAACAACCCTCTGGGATGACCCAATGGGATTCATAATTCTTGGACTCCTCAGAGTTCCTGTAGAAACATGGCAACTGCCCACCCTCAACCCAGCACTCCTCCTCCACACCCTCAGATCCGCATACACTAAGGAGTTGCTCATGAGAACGTGTGGTCCAAGCTCAGCCATGGTCCCTGAAAACAGAATGTGACTGACACCCTTCCCCCTACCTAGTGGTACATCCCAGAAAGTTCTGTGAGGGAACAGCCCACATAGCTTCAGGAAGTAGCCTCAAGGAGTCTTTGACAGACAGCACCACCCCCACTAATCAAAGCACAGCCTGAATGCAGGGTGGGTATCACTGGCCCGCATCGCCTCACCCAGTGGGGAGGAGCTTAGAGGAAGACCAGACGAATGGCAGGATCAGAACAACGGGTCTCTTTTCCTAGAACATTCTCTTCCTCCATCATAGTGAACTCCTATCTATCTCGATGGCATGTGTCATCTTCATAAAGCCCTCCCCCCCCCATCCCTAACCCCGTCCTTGAGTTTATCAACAGCATAGCTCAGGGGTGAAAAACTATGCCATATAAATATGGCGCTAAGACCGGGAATTGAAGGCAACCAGTCCCACAGATTCGCTATCAAGATCCTTAAATTCCTCACTTCTAGTCTCACCCGTGTTAAATTAGCCATCCAAATAAAAAATGTAGAGTTTTGTTCCTTGCCACCTTCTTCCAGAGTCAAGGAAGACCAACAGTGCTTACTCTTCAAAGGCAAGATGGCCACAGATGGCCTTTACTGAACCCCTGGGCCCTGTGCTCTGTGCCCATTTAATTCTTATTGTAAGCCTGAGCCACTTAATGTTGTTGTTTGGCTTTCCAAAAAAAAAAAACAAGATGCTGGAGCTCTGACAGGGTTATAAACGGGATCCCCTAGTGGTGAGAGTCAGAGCCAGATGAAGGAATGAACAAACAAATCCTGCCGAGAATGCTAAAAAACGGAGACTGAATAAGTCCATCCAGGACTGAATAAACCGCAGGTGCTTTTCATATTTGGAGACATTCTGGCCCCTGGGGCTATGAGCCCTTGAGCATTACAAGGTATTTCAGCGAAATCTCAAGATTTAGGTTCCACTCGGCCCATGTCCACCCTTGACCCGTTTTCTTCCAAGAAGAACCAACACTCCAGGCTTCTGCGGTTCCTTTAAGTCTGGTTCCGCCCACCCTGTGCTCCCTCAGTTTATGTGTGTCTCTATAGCTGTTCCTGGGGCTGCAGGTGACACCATCTTTAACCCTGTGCTTCTCACTCCCTGACCAAGGTTCAGGCCTGATGACTTCACTCTACTGCCTCTGAACTCCATCCTTCTGTCCCCCGAGCCCAATCCATTGCGACTGACAGACACACACACAAAAAAACAATTCTGTGAGTTTTAATGCGGTGAAGAGACTAAAGGATGAGAAACAATGTCCTTTCTACCAATAGTGGGATCTCTTCTTCTTTTTATGGATTTTCGTGGACATTGTGGGAGTGGACTAGGCAAGGACTCCACCAACCGTCACAGTAGGGTGTGTTAAGTGACATACAGGGACACAGCAGCATTTGCGATTTGGGCAGCGTATGACACATCCTTGCATATCACCCAGCACTGTCCGTCCTTTCAACATGCATCTTTGCGGTACAGGAACAATCGTCAGGTGTTAGTATTGCCCAAATGACAAGCAAGAAGCAGCAGAGGACAGGGAAGCAGGAGAGAAACAGAGCCACACAATTGGGTGAGCAGTGCTGTCCTGGGTCCCAGGCCATCCAAGGGAGGACACCGAGGTGACTGCTCTTGGAAAGTTTTCAGGAAAATTCTTTTTTATTTTTGAGGCAGGGTCTCAGCTCCTGACCTGAAGCTCAATATGCAGAGCAAGCGGTCTTCAAACTCATGGAGATTCACCTGCCTCTGCCTCCAGTGCTGGGATTAAAGGTGTGTACCACCACATCCAGCCAAGGAAATTTTTTCCAAAGTTTCTCCCCACCCATCATCCTGCCTCCCACTTACTAGTCCTTTCTCCAGAGTCAATAAGCATGAATGAGGGTCCCTCCTAGTGGAGCCTGTGAATGATGGGAAAGGGACAGTGTCCTTCTTTTCGTTAGTGGACAGAGGAGACTCAGTCACATCACAACAGAGCCAGCTCCTTTACAGCTGGTGACAGAAGCCAGCAAGCCTCAGCTCCAGCCACAGGCCCCTGACCAGTCCCCTTGATTCCAGACTCATCTAGTTAAAACTCAAGACCCAGTCAGCCTTCCGCCTGCCCAGCTCAATGTTCCCTGAGGCCTCGCTCCAAGCCAGATCCAAATCTAATCACATCACAAGCCCTAAGCCCAGCCACCGCCAAGCACTCTGCACACCAGACATGTACCCCTTCCTCAGCCCAAGTTCAGCCTAATGCCAGCAGCAGCTCTACTCAAGCCAAATCTCCCCCTCTCCATCTTGTACCGGGCCACCGGGAAACCCAGGTCCTCACCTCCAGTTCATGCTGATACTCTCTCTGTCACCATAGCTCCTGGGTGTCCCACATCAGGCATCACCCATAACCAAGTCCCCAACCCAAACCCAATCCTTCATCCCTCATCCATCTTCTAATTCCCAGCAGAATTCCACTCTTGCCCCCAAAGTACCAGCCCCGCAAAATATCTCTCATGCAGCCAGTTAGCAAAACAGATTTTGAGAGAGAGCAGCAAACATGGTGGGATCTTGGGGTACCCTTCAAAGCTGCATGAAATGGGAAAGAGACTTGGGTGTCATCCCTGTGAGAGTGAAGGAAAGGAAAACCCAGAGACAGGACCCCCAGGAACCTAAAAGAACCCGTTACCTGATATCACCAGTTCTGTTGCCACAAATACGGCAAGAAGCAGGAGAAACAGCTTCATGGTGGCAGTGTGAGGGTGGAGATGGCAGCGAGCTATAGGATAGGAGCGGCAGTCCCTGAGGCAGGGACGAACCTCCTTTTATCAGCAGGGCTGTGGGCAGTGATTGAGGACAGGAGGGATTTGTACAAGGTCAGCCAAACTGAAGGACAGTATGTAGCAGATGTCTCAGCCTAAAATGAGAGTGTGGGAAAGCCGCTGGCACCTATGCCAGGCATGACTTCTCTCCTAGGAAGGAGCAAAGTAAAGTTGTTTGGAATTTTGAGAGCAACCCATGATTAGTTCATTAATTAACACATGAGCACATGTCAAGAGACATCTAAGTTTTAAGAGTTATTCAGTCTTAGCTTTCTTCACTTTTTTTTTCACACATAGATGTATGTCTCATGAAATCTGGAGCCTTCCTGTATGTTCCACGTCAAGGCCTTAGCCTGCATCTCCCTCTTCAGGCCTCCAAGCTTCCTCTGATGGCGGCTGCCACTGCCTGTCATTGCAGGTGTCTCGCACAGGAGCTGGGCCTTCCAGCTGTGGTTACTCTGAACCACAGTAAGTTCTCTTCTGGCCTTCATCAATTCGTGTGGGACTTTTCATATTTATTGTACATGTTTCATCTTCGTTTCTCTCACTGAGATGCCAGGAACTTGGCTCGAGCTGTGCCCTTCAGAGGACCTATGGACTACAAATTTCTCAGTGTGGGGAGATCGCAGAGCCTCTAACATCTCTCCTAGAGATGGGAAGATGGCTCAGTGGGTGGAGTATTTGTTGTGTAAACAAGAAGACTTGAGTTCAGATCTGCAGCTCTCATAAAAAAGCCAGGCTCAGCAGCACACATCTGCAATCCTAGAGCTGGGGAAGCCATGGCACAGTGACTCTAGGTCTCTCTGGTCAGCCAGTCCAGGCAAGTCAGTGCACTCCAGGTTCAGTGAGAGACTCAAAAAATAAGGTGGAGACACCTGACCTCTCACACACACACACACACACACACACACACACACACACACACGCACCAAAGCAGGGCTTAGGCCACAGGATTTCACAGCTAGATGTGAGGGATTCTACTTAGATCCCAAGAAAGTCAGCTGTTGTAACAAGAATGAGCTTGACCTCTGGTCATCTCTGGATTCCTGCTTTGCCATGTGATCATCACCACTGGGGTGCCACCCACCATGAGGCCCTGTGTGAGGTGTGACAGACACGACTGCCTAATCAAGGAGGTTCTGCCTCCCAAATGGTGGTTTCAATGAATTTGTTTTCCAGCCTTCCATATTTTGTGATAGCAACAGAAAGCAGACTATTATGGTTTATAACCCTAGCTCAGGGTTTCACCTGAGATATTAAGATACTAATTTTAATAGGTGTTGCTCCCAAACAATGATTCCAAAACACAGACACTGATTTTTTCCCCCATTTCTGTGTGTGGTGAAGCCCAGCAGTTTCGCAGGCAGCTTGGGTCATTCCGGATCTTCTCTTCTCGGGCGGTTTCACCTGCTGGTCCAGGAGCAGCTCCGCTTCCTACCATCATGGAGTTGGGGAGGGAGTGGTCAAGGTGCTGTTTCTCTGAAGGAAATCTTCAGAAGCAGGACACAGTGTCCTCAGTCCCCTGGCCAGAACCCATTCCCACCAAAGCCGGCTCCGGGATACTCTAGGAATATGTTCCTTTATTCTGGGCGATGATGGCTTGATGAAAGTCAGGCTCTGACTCATTAAAAGCACTGGCAGTGAGGAGAACTAGAGATATTTAGAACCTGGCTTTATAAGCAGAATAATATTTAATAAACATTAACAGGCTTAACAAATAGTAGCTATTACTCCACTGAGTAAATGGTTATAGAAAATCAATAGCTTGCATTGGGTGGTGCTATGAGAGGCAGTCAGAGCCCTTCCAAGGGCCAAGCAGTTTACTAGATTTGGAGCTAGCAATGTCTACCTCCTGGTTTGCTGGGTTCTTTCCATTTTTAAATTACAGTGTGTGTGTGTGTGTGTGTGTGTGTGTTATGCATATGTGTGTGTGCTCAAATGTTACATATTTAGGTCTATCCTGTATGTTACACATGAATTGGACGTGGGTGTGTGTTTATGCTGCCAAGTGATTTGTGTGGAGACACAGTCAGTGGCAGCTGAGTAGGTGTTTGCAAACACAACTCTGTTCTCAAACCTTTAAATACATTGTCTACTACCTCAGCCCCCATCCCCCCACCCCCCCACTCCCGTGACTCTGGAATGTGACAGTGGCTTGGGAATTCTCCTACTGAGCTGAAGATGCAGGACAAAGCTAGGAGAGGCTGAAGGAGATGTGGGGACTGGGGTTGCCACTGGAGACAGGAGCTGGGACAATAAGGGAGGAGGTGAGCTTTGGCCAGAAGGCCAATTTGCATGGTGCCTGTGGGAGACAAGACAAGAACAAACTGCCGTGTCTAACTTTAAAGTCTCCCACACAAGAACAGCCTGGCCTGGCCAACTCTGAAGGCCTCCCCACCCTCCATCCTTCTGTTCTGGGCAACTATGAGTCCCACGTGGAGGAGAAGAGAGGACATTGATTATCAAGGTCCCACAAACAGGCCTGCACAGGACTTCAACATGATCTCAGATTCCTCTCACTAAAGTTGTCAAGTCAACAACAATGTCAAAGAGATGAGAATCCCCCAACAATCAAAGTCTTTGACAAGGACCCTTCCCCTCTGTGCAGTCACACTCCATCAGACCGAGGTCCTGTGGTGTCTGTGGCCCAGGAGGGCAACTCGAATGGCCAAGGTTTCAGAAAGCATGGCGAGGGTATCATGGAGAGGCCAGGATCCAAGCCAACCCTCCTCATCAGCACATCTCCATGAGAGACAAAGATGCCTGAGTGAAGTATTTCACTTACAAATTTGTGTGTGTGTGTGTGTGTGTGTGTGTGTGTGTGTGTGTGTGTGTGTGTGTGCAGTGTTGAGGGTTGAAGCCAGGGTCTAGGACATGCTACACACGTGTTCTACCAACCAGCTACACTTCTACTACTTTTTCATACTTCTCCAAAATGGTAAGAGAAACACTAAGAGTAACCATCACTCTCAGATCTTAGGAAATGCTATATTGATTTTCTTTAACCTAGTAAGACTTCATTACCCATTATTATTGGGTTCATGCCATTCTGGTCTCAATTTGATCCTTCCAGAACCTCCTATGTCTAGGAATGAGGGTCCCAGACCTTAACCATGATCTTGGATGGAGAGTCAAGAATGCCTTGAGAGCGTAAATGTGTAAAGATGGAATGAAATCTCGAGGGACTACACATTCACTGTTTGACACAGGCATGACCACATTAAGGACCAAGACCTCAGACCCTCAGAAACTTGGAAAGGCAATGCCTTTCTCTGGTCCAAACACGTGTTTATAAAATTGACCAATACGTGCAAAGTCTGGCAACTGCAGCTTCCTCCTCCCAGAAGTTTACATTCTGCTCACCTACAGAGACTTCCCACCAAGACTAGCTAACCCTTCCCCCTGCACGAATGTAGCAAAGGTGCTGAGATGCCTGGTTGATGAGGTAGTCGATGGCACCCATCCAAGTGCACAAGGCTCACCTGCCCCACTTTTCTGTACATGTCTGCATGTCTGTCCTTTCTCTTTCAGAAAGAGCAAAAAAAGTCTTACATTTTCATGATGCCCCAAATAAAATAGAGAAAAATTACAGGTAAATACCACATTCAAGTCTTGTAAAGATCTGTTCATGTTTATTTTATGTGTGTAAATGTTTTGCCTGTATGTAAGTGTAGTGTGTGCTTGCCTGGCACCTGAAGAGGCCAGAAGAGGGCGTCTGATCCCTTAGAACTGGAGTTAGCAGAGGGTTGTGAGCTGTCCTATGAGTGCTGGGATTTGAATCCAGAAGCCTGCAAGAGCCACAAGTGCCCTTCATACTACTTCGCCATCTTCAGCCCCTATGTTAAATTCTTAGTATGTCACTTTCCCACACTATTTTTAAACACATGTTTACGGTCTTATTAATACACACAATCTTGAGAGCAGGCTTTGCCCCTCCCGTCTGCCATGTGGTGGCATGGGTGATCGAAAGATGTCCTCCTCCCTTTGCCCCTTACTACCTGCAGCAGGTGGGGAACCTGATCCAACCCCTCGCCAGCTGCAGCCCTCAGGAAAGCAGGCCCTGCTCCTTGCCTGGGCAACACTGTAGAGCTGATCCTGTTGGCAGAGGCAGGAGTAAGCTGTCCCTGAAGGTGTGAGAGTGGAATAGCTGGCCATACCCCCTCGTCTGCCACTTGGTGGGGAGGGTGAGAGAAAGATGCCCTGCCCCCTTGCCCCTATCACCTGTGGTGGGCAAGGGAGTGACCCTCCCCCTTACCAGCTGCAGCGTCTCACCTGGGCAGCACAGCAGAGCTGACCCTATTGACAGGGGCACTGGTGAACCAGCTCCGAGAATGTAAGCTTGGGAGATCTGGCCCCACCCCTCATCTGCCATCTGTTGGTGTGGATGGGGGAGAGATTGCCCCCCTCCCTGTCCCTGTCCCTCACAGCCTGTGGAGGTGGGAGGGCTAGCCCTGAGGTCTTAAGAGCAGGAGGTCTGAGGTCTTAAGAGCAGGAGGGCTGTCCCTGCCCCTCACCTGCTGCAGCATTCAGGAGAGTGGCCCAAGCACCTCACCTGAACAACACAATAGAGCTGGCCTTGTGGGAGAGCTGACCCTGAGGGTGTGAAAGCAGGATAACTGGGACCACCCCTTGTTCACTTTGGCAAGGGGTGAACTAGCTGGGCAATGCTGGAGAGCTCACCCTGGTGGTGAGTGCAGGGGAGAACTGATGGGCAGACCAATCCTGCAATTACCCAAGACCAGAACAAGGGTTGTGAGTTGGCCCACCCCAACATCCATCCCATCTGTGATCTGCTGGAGCTTGTGAAGGGACCTGACCCGCAGACCCAAAGCTGCAGGATTTCCACGACACAGGGCAATGACAGGATATCCAAAGGCGTCCCAGTGAAGGCCCAGCATCAATAGTGTAGCAGAAACCAGAACCTT